ACACACACACATTTTTTTTTTCCTGGTAAAAATGTTTCACATGAGCTGTGTCCTCACGCATTGCATGACACAGTACTGTCACCCACAGGCGCTGTATGGCTGACTTCCGGAATTTATTCACCTTGCATGGCTGAACGGATTTATGTTTGTTAATTCATTTATTGATTTCTTTCATTTGAAATAGAATTTGGTTGACTGAAATGAAATTTAAATCTCTTTTGTAAACTTTTAATTTCTTGCCTGGTTTAATTTTCTTAGCTTTAGAACAAAAATGTGTCTTTTATTTTGATGTTTATATTTTATACTTTGTGTGTTTGTATTTCTTTATCCTGAACTCTTTTTTCGACCAAACTCTCAGCATCTCCTACCGTAATGCCCTGCGGAAAAAACTTCATTCTTCTTCCTCTGTGCCAAATTTTCTAAAATTTCTGGCTCCTGTAGATGAAAATAACACCTCTGACTTTATGAACACAAAAAGGTAGGGTTCAATTTAGATATATCAAGCCTGGGTAGAAGCGTTGAATTATTATTGGATGCTCAAGGGATTTTAGCTGTCCTTTTGCCATTTAAAAAAAATAAATGTTTTGGCTAAGTCTATATGATCTTTGTGTTACACATTTTCTTCTCTGGGTGTGATTTAAAGAAATGTCTACCAGTGCTCCGATTTTGACTCGGATTAGTTTATTACTATCTTGTGACCTTCTGAAGCTTAAAGAATGTCTCCACCAGTTCTCTCAGTGATAGTGGTATTGCTGGGTAGCGAGCTGACAGCCGTCATAAAGAAGTTGGGTATCTGATCCGTAAGTTCAGGCGATCGCTTACTGCGAGTGTGTATTCAGGTGTAAATTGCAAGGACATCCTAAGGTTGTCCCATCCGTGGGTGGAAAATTAAGGATCAGATTATATTTATTTAGATGGATGGATATCTTTTGTAGTTTTAAAACTGCAAGTGCTGCAAGTCATGGCCCTCAAGTGGCTACATAATTATAGCCACGGTGGCTCTGGGTAATTTCACTTGTTTTTTTTTGTTTTTTTTTCATTTTGTTGGTGGCAGTCCATGACGCAGGAGAAAATATTCCCACACACAGCCTAGGGGAGGTTGAGGCCCCTGGTGACACTGACCCTTTGGGCAGTTTCTCTTTTACCTGGAGAGGCCCACTTGGGAGCGAATGCGGTGGGAAGCGTGTCTCTCAGTAAGTCTCACAGCAGAAGTAAATGGAGGGCCGTGCAAAGGGCTCTCTCCCTGAAGAGCCCCGTGGTGGCAGGCTTTCCAGAGCGTGGCCTCCCCCTGAGCTTGACTGACTTACATGGCGCTCTCCTTGTTTGCTTATACAAACATGATGTATATAATTCAGTGCTTTGTCAAAAAAAAAAAAATCTTTTTAAAACTGATATACCCTGTATGTCAGTCTCCCCACCAGTCCTAAACCCACTCTCTTATAATTTCAGGGATTTCAAATCCGAAGCCAACCACCTGGCCGATGGCGGCGGGACCCCTGTAAAGACACGGAGGCCCTCGTGGAGGCAGCAGATATTCCTCCGAGTGGCCACGCCACAGAAGGCGAGCGACACCCCCAGCAGATACGAAGGTAAGGCCTGAGATGCAGCTGCTAGTCTGGGGTGTGGGGCGAGTTTTCCTTGTAACCGAAGTATATGGGGTGGAGGAAGGGGAGAAGTGGGGCTTGGAGTCCGAAAGCATCCTTTGATGGGTATCGATTCCATGGCTGATTCCGTGGCTGATTCCGTGGCGTCGCCGGGCCCCCGGCGTTGTGATGTGCACACCCGTGGGAGACCTGCAGAGGGCGCAGCAGCCCGGGCAGTGCCCCCTTCCGTGGCTGCCGGGGTTTATTCCCATGGAACTTTTCCTTTTGCAAAGCTGCAGCGGCAGCTCTTTCTGCGGCTGTGTCTGTGCAGGTGTCTCCTCCTTGCCTTTTCCTGAGGAACCTGCCCTTTGAAAACGTACAAAAGGAAAGAAAATGGTGTTTCTGACAAGCTTTTGACCCACCCTGCCCATGGGACTGTTCAGGGGTTCAGCCTGGTGCTGCCTCTTCTCATTTTCTGGATTCCCCTCCCTGCTGGCTAAGTGCCAGTGACGCGGCTCTGGGGGCCCCCCAGTATCTGCAGTACCCCAGGTCCTGCGGGCCCCCCAGCCCAGTACCCGGTCACACCGCGGTCGCCCCGGCTCCTCAGTTGCGTCACCCAGCCTGCTGCCATCCTGTGGCCTCCCGTCTGGTTTCGTGCCGCGCAGAGAAGCCCAGTGTGCCGAAGTCTGTGTCCGGGCCTTCCCGTGCCGCTGGCTTGTGACAATGAGTGAAGTGCAGTGGACTCTGCCCGAGTAATATCAGTGTGAACACCAGATGTTGTTTTCTTCATATTCCTTAGTCAGAAAACAGTTTCCCCTTAAACAACAACAACAACAAACGAAACCAAACAGCAGCACTGTGGCGCGTCTGGAGGTCCTCGGGCGCCTGCGGGGTGTGTTCACGGTGGCGCGTTGGCGGGCTCCGCGAGTGTCTCAGGAGGCCCCACGGTGCCATCTGGGCTTTCAGAAGGTTCAGGCACCTGCCTTGGGGGAGGAGGCCGCGGAGGGCCCTTTCTCGTTGCTCACCCCCCACCCCCCTTATTTGGCTCTCCTCAGCCTGCACTCCGCCGGCCCCTTACCTCCCGCCATCTGTCCTTCCCCGATCTCATATTTCTCCCCCCTCCCCTTTCTACCCCTGACCCCCACTCCAGAACTTTCCTTAACATATATATATATTTAACTGGCTGCTTTTTTCTTTAAAGATTTATTCATTTATGCATATAAGAACTGAGGTATAGGGCCCTCCCTGGTGGCGCAGAGGGTTAAAGCACAGTAAGAAGCTAAAACCTCTTCCGCATGAGTTCGATCCCTGCTTGCACCTGGGGTGAGGTGATCCACATGGCTCCGCAGACCTCTCCTGGCCCACCGCCGCTCCCCTCAGCAGTGTCCTTCGTCTGTCAGTCGGCCTGTTCTGCTCCCCACTCTGTCTCTGGTGAAGCCTCTCACGGCCTCTGCACCTCTGGCCTGTACCCCAGTTTTGTATACACAAAT